CAATCTGGCAGAATGTGGTATAATCGTCCCAGTGAATATCTGCTCAAAGAAGGATACAAAAATGATCTAATTAGTCCATACGTTTTCATCCGTAGATCTAAATCAGGCTTTTCCATAATTGCGGTATATGTTGATGATTTAAACATCATTGGAACTTCTGATGAAATAGAAAACACTGCAAAATATCTCATGAAAGAATTTGAGATGGAAGATCTTGGGAGAACAAAATTTTGTCTTGGTCTTCAAATTGACCATTTGAAAGACGGAATATTCATTCACCAGTCAAATTACACGAAGAAGGTTCTGAAGTGGTTTTATATGAAATGCCATACCTGAGTGCTATTGGATCTTTGATGTATCTAGCAATTCAAACAACACTCGACCAGATATTGCATTCTCAGTGAACTTGTTAGCCAGACACAGCTCGACCCCAACTAGGAGACATTAGAATGACATTAAACATATTTTGCGATATCTAAATGGTACCATCGACGTTGGTTTATTTTACCACAAAGGTGCCAAGGCCACTCTTATTGGATACGATGATGCAGGATATTTGTCTGATCCATAAAAGGAAAAATCTCAAACAGGATATATGTTTACTTATGAAGATACCGCAATATCATGGAGATCGATGAAGCAGTTTGTGACCGCCACATCATCAAATCACGCGGAGTTGATAGCTCTCTACGAAACAAGTAGAGAATGTGTATGGTTGCAATCAATGATCCAACATATCCAAAGCGAGTGTGGTATAGAAAAAATCACTAGTTATCCGACTCCTATATATGAAGACAACACTGCATGAATTGCTGAAGTGAAAGGAGGTTATATCAAAGTAGATCGAACAAAGCATATATTACCAAAGGTCTTCTCAACACATGATCTCGAGAAAGACGGAAAGGTTGACATCAAGCAAATCAAGTCCAGTGAGAACCCTGCTGATTTATTTACAAAAGCGTTGCCCACAAAGAAATTTGAAGAACTCGTACACAAGATTGACATGCGTCGCCTCCGTCAATTATGCTAAGCTGAGGGGGAGAATTTTATGAACTGTACTCTTTTTCCCTTGATCAGGTTTTTATCCCACTGGGTTTTTCCTGACAAGGTTTTTAACGAGGCACTACAAAAAATTAGAATGAGTTTCTAAAATACCATTATGAACAAGAAGAAGAGTGAAGAATACCTCATCAGTATGAGGCTTAGGGCCCTTGCAAAATACCATTATGAACAAGAAGAAGAGTGAAGAATTAATATAGAGAAGAAATCAGAAATATATTATACTTTTTCCGTCCCAAAAAGTTTTACACATTGTGACTAAATTGAAAATTAAGGGAGGAATAATTTTGTGTTGACTTTCCAAAAATAACCTTGATTTGATGTGTAAAAGTAGGATGTGATGTGTAGATTATAAGGAAAAAGGTATGATGTGATAGGTAGGGTTTGAAAAAGTAAGGGGTAAAAGTGGTTTTTTAATAGAAATGAGTAGGAGATTGTGGGACGCAATTTTTTTGAAAGATGTAAATCTTTTTGGGACGGAGGGAGTATCTATTTTCATAATCTCTTATGAGTAGTTTTTCTCTCATTTTATAACATGAACTACTTTTTAGAAAAAACTGATGAAAATAATCTTAACTATTGTTGGTCCGTTCTAAATCATTCCATACTTTTTTTTTGAAAAATTGATGGAAGTGATTAGTCCAGTCCACCATACTATTCGTAACCGTGATTATGTCAAATAAAATTAGTCTATATTCTATAACAATATACGAAGTATTAAATTAATTTACTTAAGGTAGTGTTTGGCAACTAGCATTTCATTTCAATTCATGTATTTCAATTCCAAGATTCAAAATCTTGAATTTCAAATGACAAGGGGATGTGCATGGATTTGAAATTAAGCTTTGTTATGAATGAGAGGAATTTGACTCAAATCCAAATTTAAAATTTTTGAATTTCCCAAACATGGAATTTGAGTCAAATCCGGATTTGAAATCCAAATTCATGTTCCTAAATATGCCATAATATAATTCTAATACTTTATATATATGTGTCTAACGTCAATTTTAGTTTTTTTGCCTCACATTTTCTAAGATACTAACTGAGAAGTATTAATGTTGTTTAATTTCATATTCTTATAATACACTAATTACTATGGAGTATATGTTTTAAAAATAAAAGCTTTTTTTAAAATTGAGAAAAACCTACTACATAAATTACAATACATCCCAAAATGATTAAGATTTTAAACTATTCAATAACAATTAAATTATTTACTTTAAGTTCAATATTCAAACTAATGTAAGTTCGACTTGAATAATCAAATAAAATTATTTCAAATGTAAACTTAATATCATTTGATTCAATTTCAAAGTGTCGTATTAAAATAACACAATTTATAATATTTATTTATATACTCCCTCCGTCGCCAAAAAATTATTGTTTGGGTTTCACTGAGTTTAATTGTTGCAAATTAAAATGAATAAAATTCATTTCAATT